TCCCTACAGCTCTGGCTGAGAGCACTGGAATCTAATGTTCAGTCTATAGGCAGTCTGGGCAGCTGGTCTGTTTTAAATGGTAATGATTGTAGAGATAGCTCAGTGCTTGCAAAGGAAGGACAACAAAAGTGCCAGTGAGCTGTGTCAGCCTATGAGGTGTCAGACAACCCTTCTTCTTCCAAACCTTTTCCTTCAGCATCTGCCTTTCATTTGGGATGCAGTTGGATATGGTCTTATCCAGTTTCCCTTCTTTCAAAAGACTATATGACCATCCCCAAACTACTTCTTCCAGATTTTCCCCTAGGTTTCTCTCTCCCATAGCTTCTATTGAAAGAATAAGAGAGAACAGACTGTACTAGCAAGATAGCTAATGCATTTGTCCTTGAATAGGCTATTTTTCTCCTTATCAAGTTGCCATGGAAATGTAGCATAAAACCTTCCCTGCACACAGGCTTAAATCCACTTCACTAGCTAAACCCCCTGCTTCCTGAAGGAGTTCTCTGGATATTTCCTAGAAGCATTTCTCCTCATATGTATTACTTTTAGTAGTATTCTTTCTTCCTTTCCTCTTACTAAAGATATTTGCATGAAAAAACAAGACCTTTATTTCTTAAGAGCCTGTTTGATCCTAATGTTTATTCCAAACTAACATCTCCTTTTTTTTTTAAATTGATTTATTTTCCATAGCTAACAATAGCAGACACAACAGTTATTTTCAGTTGGGAGAATAGGCAACAGATGCTCTAAGAGGAACTCTTAGGGTGTGTCTAGATTACATCCCTCTGTCGCCAGAGGGATGTAAATTAGACATACCGACATTACAAGTGAAGTGGGGATTTAAATCCCCCGCTCTTCATTTGAATAAAAATGGCGGCCTTGTTTTGCCGAGTCAGCAGTTTGTCGGCAAAAAGTGGCTGTCAAGACGGGGATCAGGCGACAAAGAAAGCCTTTGTCACCCGATGCCTTATGCCTCCTGCAAGGAGGTTTACAGGATTGGGCGACAAAGGCTTTCTTTGTCACCCGATTCCAATCTTGACAGCCACTTTTTGCTGACAAACTGCAGACTCGGCAAAACGAGGCTGCCATTTTTATACAAATGAAGCACGGGGGATTTAAATCCCCGCCTCATTTGGAATGTCGGTATGTCTAATTTACATCCCTCTGATGACAGAGGGATGTAATCTAGACATGCCCCCTATCAATAAAGGGCTTAATTCTCCTCTGGGATAGCTCCACTCATTTCAGAGGAGATTTTCCATCATTCCTTATGGCTCAAAGATTGTTTCTTTATATGGATGTCTTTAATAATAATGAATGAGTCAGGTGAAACAAAGTCTAGTATACTCATTCAATAGTTTGTAAATAAAATGATTTTTCACTGGCTTTCATTAAAGTCTCATCTCATCTTTAAAGAGCCCATGTTTCTGGAAGCTGGTATGACACTATTATTGGATATTATTTGTTTACTGAGATATTTTGTAATATTCTCTGAGAATGGCACAAAGTCCTACATATTGTAAGTATCTCTCTATTTTAGGAGTACCACAAATATTTGATACTTTGGCTTCAGTGCAATATGATTCATCACCTATCATTGCCAAACACCAAGGTACATGTAAATGTGCATCCGAGGGAAAGATTTATCCCTAAGAATCCAGAACATTATAATACAAAACCCGTCTATGCTGGGAGACTTTCTGTGTAAATGTTAAATTGGAACAGTGCAAGAGGCAGTGTTTTAAAGATTTTGAAATTAAACAAATATGCAGTGCAACTATTATTTTGAGTAACCTAAGGCTAAAAAACCTAAGAATATCTGTTAAGCTTTTTGTTGATACAGCAAGAAATAATTTAACTTGACTTACTAGTGGCTGTATTGTAAAAATGGAAATGAGATGTTAGCCCTTCATTAATAAAATTCTTGCAAGATTTTCATTTTGGCTGTGTGCTTTAAACAATAGCGAAACAAAATTGTTACAGAACAGTTAATATAAAAAAGCTTTTACAGCAAACGAAGAACTTTTTACCTCTTAGTATTTCAAATATTGATTTGATAATTGTAATTTATTAATATGAATGTTACTGCAGACATATACTGTAGCTATTAAATTTTATTCTTTAATGAAGTATCTGTTAAATTTCCATGTTAGCATTACTAAAAGTAAGTTAACTGAAACCAGGTTGGAAAAATTAAAGTAAATAATCAGATGCCTTTGAATTATAGTTTAAGCTGCAAGTGATGTTCTTATGTGCTTTCTTATGTATTACAGAGGGAGGAGACAGAAGGAAAAGAGGGGGAAATAATATCTATATACATGTTAAAATATATAGAAATTGGTATTAATTTGAATATAGTTGTGATTTTAATTTGATTATTTCAAAGTCTTGTATCAACAATTAAACAGACCTTTTGAGTTAGCAGTGTGCCTCTCTAGTGTACATCATACAGATGACTAAATTGAAAGGTATAGAAATTTCAAGAGCCCATGCAGCACATTATTTGCAAAGCTGGGAGTAGATTCTAAGGCTCTTGGCTTGTAAGCGTCAGTGCTAACTTCTGTCCATGGCACTGCAGTCAGTCCGTTCATACTGAAAATAATGTATGTATTACTTTCTCTAATCATTGCTTTAAACCATAGGAACTATTCAGTATGACCAAAGATATATACAGTCATTATCTTATTTTCAGCAAAGAAAAAACAATATTTTTCAGACAAGGCAGCTGTTCTGATGCCAAAACTACTATAGCAAAGATGTATAAAAATTCTCCTTTTGGGTCTCTTTGTGTCAATATACTGCTGACTTAATTGCTTACTGGACTGAGAATGCTTCAAATAGAATTGAGTCCCGTCCTTCATAACATCACCTACACTGAATAATCAATTCCTGTGCTTGTATGTGCATGTGCAGTAGCTCATTCTTGTCAGTGTTTTAAAGCTATTAATAGGGAAATCTGCAGAAGGCAAATACATTAATTTATTTTCAAGTGAAGAAACAGGAGAAATGTTTTAGAGGTATCTAAAAGTTACACAACAGTTAATCTAACTAGGAATGATTGGCACATAAGTTGGTGATTTTACATCAGCTGTGGGTTACTGTGTCATATATAGAGGACAGAATGGAAACTGGAATATTGCAAATATGTTACGAATGCAAATCACATATAGTAAGAAGCCATGCAATTCTTCAATTTGACTATTTGTAAAAGAGAAGGGTGAACCTAGCTTCAAAATTCTAAGCCCAGTCTAATCTCCTGTACAACGCCAGGCACAGATCCTCCCCAATGTAATTCCTAGAGTAAATCTTTTAGGAAAATATCCAATATTGATTTTGAAATTACCATTGAGGGAGAATTGATCACAACCCTTGCTAAATTGTTCCAATGGTTAATTGCTTATTAATTAGCTTCAACTTTCCAGCCATTGCATCATGTTACAGATTGGACCTCCCTGGTCCAGCACTCTCGGGGCCTGAGCTGTCCCAAACCAGGGATTCTGCTGGACCAAGGGAGGTCAGTCCTCTCCTGCTGGCTGCCCTGCTCTCAGGCTTCTCTCCCTGCCCTGCAGCATGCTCTGCTAAATCTGGTCTGGTTAGGGCTTCCCACCCTGCTGTCTGCATACTCCGCAGAGTCCCCTAGGGTTCCTGTCTGGGACCGCCTGGCTGCTGCTGTCCCCACTGCCACAGGGTGTTCCTTGTCACCCTGCTCAGCTGCTGGGGGTGGCCCTGCTGCCACTGGGAATTCCCTGGAGTTTCCTGGACAGGGCCACCCTCCTCCACCAGCCTCACTTCAGCTTGGGTATTCCCTGGCTGAGGCTCCCCAGTCACCCAAACCCCACTGCTACTGGGAGTTTCCTGGGGTTCACTGGCTGGGAAGTCCACCACCAGCAGCCCCACTGCAGCTGGGGGTTCCTGAACTGGGGTCGAGACACCTCACCTGCCTGGCCCCAGTGACGTTGTGTTTCCCCCAGCTGGGCTGGGAGCTTCCTGGCTGTCACCTGGCCCCGCTGATGCCAAGGGGGTTTCCGACTGGGACGAGGGCTCCTGGCCACCACTTGGTCCTGTTGGTACCAGGGGTTCCCCAGCCAGGGTAGGAGTTCTCAGCTGCTGCCTGGCCCAGCCTGCGCTCCCTGGGCCCTGCATTCTATCAGGTGCCTCCCACTCCCAAGAGGAAGCT